GCAATATTCCAGCAATATCACGTCGGGGGACACCAGGAATGGGCTTCACACATTGTACCGATGTGGGGAATCGAACCCGTGTCTTTGGCATGACGAGCGAACACTTTAACCACTAGGCTACCCCACCTCCCCTATTCCAGCTATGATGTGTGTATAATAAATATAAGTGAACTAGACAAACCAATGAGTGATATAAGGAGCAACTCTCCATACGGTTACTGATATCACGACACATTATCAACCAAGTCTGACCATCTAATCATCTATGTTGCTTCTTAATTCCAGCAGGGTCGCTGGGGGCATAATTCTAAACCGTACTCCTCGTTGGATTTCAACTGACATCAATCAAACTGAGTTTCTTTATATGATCATTATCAATGCTTGACATTGTGCTATGATACAAAGATTGTCCCTTAATAATTGGTGATGAAACTCTTCAAGGCAAGAGTTAATTATTGCATAGTTAGAATCTTTTGTTGATTGTATTACCACTGAATCATATTATGAAATGCATCTTGCTACACACTAGCCTCTGGGTCTAGAACCTCTTTCCATGGCTGACATGAAAGGCAGATATTGTTGATATCAGACAGCTACAGAAAGTAGAAACTGAAACATCTGAACAACACACATTCAACACAGTATAAGTTATAGGGGCACAAAGCACTGCTGCAGATAGGAATTATGCCTTCACATGTTTTCGTAATACACAAGGACAGAGGTCCTTAAACACAAGCAGTATTTGCACTGTGATCTCAATTTCCATATTTCCTCTAATAAGCGCCTGGCCTCGAGTAAGCGCTGGGGTAAAGCAGCACTTTAGGAAATATGGGCCAGGCCTCTAATAAGCGCCGGGTGTCTAACAAGTATGGTTTTTATTTATAAATGTATTCTCCCTTGATCCAAAAATAGATGCATTAAGGAATGGTCCCTTTAGTCATAACCCCTGTCCTCCAAATAGCATGGGTTGATGGATATTATGTAATTGTCAAAGCAGTAAGTGCTGGGTCTCCAACAAGTGCCAGGTTTCTAATAAGTGCCAGGTCTGGAAGTCCATTGAAAAAATAAGAGCCCGGGTGCTTATTAGAGGAAATATGGTATCTATACAACTGGACAGGAACATGTCACTACCTAACCACAGAGCTAAGGCATAATCCTAATTTTAACATATATTTAGATATGAATAAAACACAAATCTATAACCATTTGTTTGACCATTTCATCTTAAATGGAGGATACAAATAAATACCAATCTTAAAATACTAAATTAACAATTACTGATTTTAAAGATAATAGGCACAGTACACTGATTGTAAATTCAAGTCACTGCAAAGTAATAAAATTCATAAAGAGCTTTGAGACATTTCATGGTCTGAATAAGTGATCTGAATGTGTTGCAATTTTCATAGTAATAATGAAACTTGTCTCATCATTTACCATACTCATATTGAAACATATTTTCTTGCAGTTTAGGATATTGAAGGCACAATTTTTGTGTGGTTTAAAATTGAAGTTATAAATTCAGCAAATTAATGTTTGGGATAGTATTGTTTTATTATATACGATCAACAGAATCTGCAAAACAGTCTTGAAAAATAAGCCTTTACTTATACATTTATTTGAGGTTCAGTTTAAAGTTGCTTATGGTTGAATATCATCCCAAAGTATTTGTGTTTATTCAATGAATTAATTAATTTATTTTTTTTCACGATGCTATTAACAATACTCCAGCAATATCAGGGCAGGGGACACCAGAAATGGGCTTCACACATTGCACCCATGTGAGGAATCAAACCCGGGTCTTGGTGTGACAAGTGAGTGCTTTAACCGCAGCTAGGCTACACCACCACCCCGTTCCTTCATAATGACTGACTGTAAAGAAGGATGCTCCCAGTATATACAAAACATAACAAATATATTGTGTATATACAACAAAATTCAGAACATTCTTTTATACTCGACATTTTAAGATTTTCACTGAACCATGTACACTTGCTACCACTGTGTTGACTATGACATGTCTTCCACATACATCAGCTTCAATTGTGTGAAACAATCAACAGACTAGATATAACAGATAATGCAAAAAATAATATCAATCAAAAGACACAGTTGTTAGCTTAAGTGATTAAATAGTTGAAGCAGCCATCAACAAATAAACAGGCTAAAATGAGTTTGTACACATCACATTGATAAAAATCACATTTTCTCATACAGACTAAACTATCAATGAGCATAAGTCTTGCACTAAAACCAATAACAGGTTGGCAGTAAAATCACAAACAAAGACTGGCAATATTTAAATTACACTGACAAAACACAGAAACGACAATTTCACAAATACTATTTCACATTATTCTCAGAAATATAGGAGATTATCATTATTATTATTATTATTAGTATTATAGGAATTTTTTAGCTGTGACAAGTCAGCTTCAATTATTCAGGTAACATACCTCCAGTTTGTTATAATAAATACCCTGGCCCATCCAAACCATAGCTTCATTTTGAGCTCAAGTCAAGGAGCTGTCCCATCCAATTCCATGCTGAGTTAGAAATAGAAGCTATGGAGATGGATGGTGCCATCACTTACGAATCAAAGCTATGATGATAAAAACTTCCAGGTTATTTAGAGAGTGAGTTTAGTTTTACACCACTTTTAGCAATATCACCAGACATGGGCTTCACACATTATACCATGTAGGGAATTGAACCCAGGTCTTCGGCATGACGAGCGAATGCTTTAACCACTAGGCTACCCCATTTTTATAAAATTATGGCGACACAATACACTGAATATCAAGAGACAAGGAAAACATCTTCCAAGAGTTTATCTGGTGGTTGAAATGAATATTACAAGAATTATCGATACTTTGCATTAAATCTCCAAGTATTATTCTCAAAAGAAAGGATACATTTGAGGTTAGCCATGTAAAAGCACTTTTATTATCTGTAACACGCTATTTGTATATTCAAAGGCCAAAGCAACTGTGATCATGTTCTTACTGACCAAATTGTGATGACTTGTCAGAGGCACATCACTCTCAAATACAGTCAAACCCCAATGTCTCGAAGCTCGGTTGAGACGAATTCTCGGTTGTATTGAACTCATCTCTCTGTCCCTGCAGATTTCCTTATATCTATAATTATTTCTATGCTGACAGATGTGTCGAACACTCACATAAGTCGAACTGTTCCCTTGGTCCCGACGAGTTTGACACAACGGGGTTGGACTATAATATCTGTACTAGTGTATAATTTGACCGAAGATTGAAAATAGGCTTTCCTAATTCATAAAAATGTAAATTCAAAGTTATATTCGGCCCAACAATTTGTCATTTTGTGCCTAAGTAAAATGTGTAGTCTTTTTATATCAGATTCGGTAAGCTTTAGATGATTGGCACCATCACCCCGGGGAACAAGACAATGTCACAGCAATGGTTCAGATTCCCATTGTTCCAGGGGCATTAGTTCTTGAAAACAATGAGTTCCCACTGTTAATGAGCAATGTTGGTTCCTATATTTCTGATGTCTGACCTTTCAATTTCCGATCTCATTTAAATTCGACCATTTACTCTGATACAATATCTCTCTCAGCACAAACACCAAGTTGCATCTTGTGAACTCAATCAGCTCTATGGCCTCTAAAGTCTTGGCACAAAGCATTCAGACAGGTATATCTGTCTTCTGTATCTAAAACCATTATAAAGGGAAAATCCAAATGTCTAATAATCATGCTGCTGTGTAATAGCTTGGATATCTTATATATCATGTCACTTGTGAGTGCCTTTGCATCTGTAACCAAAGGGTTATGTTGAGGACATATTTGGTTTTGGTGGCAGTGTTCTTTCATAGAGATTCAAAATTCAGTATGAAGGTGATAAGAAAAGCCAACATCTGATCAGGGCCCCGTTTCACGAAGCTCTCGTGAGCCTAAGTTCTAGTAACTTTTCTAGTAGTGTCGTACCTCCTATGTTACAGTATAGGAGGTACGAATGCTACGAGGAAAGTTCTTAGATCTTACTTAGAGCTTTGTGAAATGGGGCCCAGCTCAAGAACCAACACATTCTTCACTTTGCTTGGTAGTCAAAGTTTACACAGTGTTCACCTGACAGTGTCTCATGATGGCACCCCCAGGTCTATACAGTGATAGATATTCTATTGGATTTCTATGAGATTGGTCAAGACCTATGAGTTGTTTAAAAATGAATCAATCTGAAAACACTCATAATCTATGCAATGTTCAAACTTAAGCATAAAGTCAAATGGTTATCACAACATTAATGTTGTTTATGATTTAGGTGGTCCCAAGATTCGAACACTATTGTAGTCAAACTCATGGATATACAAACCAAGCCATAACTTGTGACTGTCAGTTCTCAGAAGATTTTCATGATCAGGATTACTTTTGTCTTTGAGGATATTTCAGGTTCAGATTTGTGAATGAGATAACTAAAAGAAATCCAGTTGAACCTCTTAAAACTCTCTACTCATACATACAGATTGCAGCAAGCACATACTAACTTCACATAATGACAAAGCCTATGACAGTAATTTAAGTGCTGATAAAAACATGACCTTCACATGAGATTTTGTGTCTTGTCAAAATTGAAGTGAGTTCACCGATTCAGCATGTCGATCAAAAAACATCAAAAACAAATTCACAGGCTTCAAAAACAGTTTCATACAAACGCAAGCATAATTCAACACAATCAAAAATATTGCTTGGACAACAGAGTGCTCCTGACTAAGCCACAGGAGTGATGGAAACTCCCCTCATGATGATGCTGAATTCTATAAAAGTAAGATGAAATGACATGTTGGTTGGTTGGTTGGTTGTTGTTTTAACGCCACACTCGGCAATATTCCAGCTACATGGCGGCGGTCTGTAAATAATTGAGTCTGAAACAGACAATCCAGTGATCAACAGCATAAGCATCGATCTACACAATTGTGATACGATGACATGTGTCAACCAAGTCAGCGAGCCTGACCACCCGATCTGTTAGTTGCCTCTTACGACAAGCATGGGTTACTGAATTCTAACCCTGATCTTCACATGTAGAAATGACATGTAATTCTAAACCAACCAAAGAAGCAACAAAATGAAACATACCAGATTGAGATGTAAGTATCAACTATAATCCAACCCTTTGGAAACAGTTCCAGAGCTGGATGTCTTTGGTGTTCATTCACAACATGGCTTAATGTCGATGAAACACTGACAATCATAGCCCTTATACTGTATCAGGCTACGACTAGCAATAACAATACTCTTAATCATCAGACGGCTATCTAAAACCTGCCCTGTGGACCTTGTGAATCTCTTATTAATGCTGTTATTTAGAACATTCACATATTTTGGTTCAGACAGGTGAAAAATCCTGTCCTATAAGTGGCTTATTGCAGATTTTGTGAGGGATAATCATAATAAGATTGTCTGAAATTTAACCAAAACAACTGTCAAATGAATATTTGAAAATTGGACTTTTACTTTTCAGTTTTACTGTTGAGTGAGAAAAAAACTTCTGGGGAGCTGGTCACATGTTCTCACCTTAACCTCAGAGAACAACCTCAAAGAGTCATGGATTATCGGTGCCAAGTGAATTCAATTTGTAAGTCTTCAGTTCCTGTAGTCTTTGAACATTATTTCAAAGGTATATGTAACCTGTTAATTCCAAGCTGAAAGCAGATGGAGACAACAGCTCTTGTTACATTAAAATCCAATAAAAACTTCCATGAAACGATGGACAACATTTTGAATTATTTGCAACAATGTGTTTACATATGAAAGAAATTGAGGCAAAACCTGTGATCCTCAGAAATTACCGAAAATAAATGCATCCAAGTAACTTGATGACCCAGCAATCTTTGACTGTCTGCAGTGAAGTTCCATTATAGATATATATAGTATTGTTTAGGAGGTACGACAGGTACATATGATATACAAATGTGGTGATATCTAGCAACTGAAAGCAACACTGCATGTTAAAACATTTTTGAGACATTCTTCACTTCTACTCTCACATTGAATATGAACATTCATGACGGAACAGGAAGCCCCATGAAAACTATTCAGTTACATCACCATTCAATGGCAACGTCATCTTGGCATCCTGGATGACTAGGTATAATCTCAAAGCAGGAAGCAAAAGCCTATGTGCCGTATATACTGTGTTACATTTGACATGGATTGTCTCCCCTTAGAGACTGGCATCACTGAAATGTACACCAGTGAAATATACAACAGTGTTGACCATGTCAGATATGTCACAGTGATGAGAATACTTATCAAAGCATGCACATACTTTACACCTGACTACAATCAGGTGCTTGCATTCAGCAGGAAGCAGGAAGGTACTGTAATGCTTATTGCTATGTCCGTCGAAATGGACATCATTGTGAAAGCTAGCATAGTTTGGATAGCAAGGCAAGTCTGTACTGTGGTGCTGTGACAAGTAGCTTTTGGCAAAGTGGTTGTGTCTTATCATTATCTCTGTTTACAAAGAGTAAAATATTTACATACTGTACAGTATTTTTTAGTTATGACAAGCAGCTAGGAAGACATCTGCATCACACCAAGTCCCTGATACAAAGAACCATTTTAAAGATACTAGTATGTCCTCTCATACATACCTCTCACCAAACTTTTCAGCCATAAAATCTATAATCCATTTATAATGCTATCAAATGAACATAGTAATCATAAATATTCCTTTAATTAATGGAAAGTTTAGAATCATGAAATAGTAATAAACAAAATTCGATAACAGTGACAATCTAAAATCATGCCATCAGTCTAATTATTTCAGAACAGTATGTAAACATTTCCCTTTGTCTGATCAAAATTAAACTAACGTTCAAAAACTGGCGTCATGGAATAACATTTGATATTACAGGATTAATAAACTGCAATAACACTGGCACTTTAAATAAGTAACTGATCAAATGTAACATTAATAATCAACAGAATTTAAGATCATCCAAAAACAATACCATGGAGAGGAAAAAACACTTTACCAATGGGTACTGGATGACAATTCCAAAAGCTTTGTATTAGCATTGTGAACACACTTGCAAAAAACATCCTTAATACAGTATGTGACCATCACTAGAATCATATCAAATATTAGCCACAGTCACAGTATTAAGACTGCTTTCGGCTTGTTGAACACAACATCCTTCAACCTACCCAGATTCCTATGATCTCCGCTTAAATGCATGAGCATGCACAAGCACCAAGACAGTACCTGAAAACGTTTTTTCTTGCATTGTTCCCTGATGATAATACTTGATCGTAGCCTATGGCAGCCATGTAAAGTATATACATGCTCCGACTTGTAAGTAAGGCACAGAAGGCAAATGCAGTTTCAGACCATTCTGGTAATATCAGACACGACCAACGAGAAGCTGCCCACTTGGGTATCACCTCCTTGTTGATGAGGATTGTTGGGATGCATTTCTTTGTTCCTCTTCAGTGGGTTCGGGAATGACAGCCTGGAGAGCTGCTGGCGTTAGCCACTCCTTTGGTATTGCTTTCTCGATAAAGGGAATACAAGAGCTCATATAAGCTAGCCTGTTGACCCAACTGGGCAGTTCCTTGCCACAAATGATCTGAAACAAGCATTATTTTACCATGAGACTTGACAGGCATAACAGCCAAAGGGTGGACTGATAATTAGAGTAAAGAATAATATCGAAAACATATTGATAGTTGTGGATCATATAGCAAATATATGGAGAAGGTGAGGTGAGGTGAAATTGGGTTTAATGTCGTACTTGAGAATATTTCGCTCATATGACGATGTGCATGCATGTGTATGTGTGGCTGCTTGTACTAACCCAGACTTAAGCTGGTTTTATAGTGCTAGCCCACTGAGATACCATGCTGCAGTTAAGCATGAATACCCCATTCAGACACATTCAGACTCCGAGCCGACCAGTCCTTGTTGTACCCATTAATGTCGAGCGCCAGGAAGGGACCAACAAGTACCATATTTTAACGTCTTTTGGTATGACGCGGCCGGGTTCGAACCCACGACCTTCCGCTCTCCGGGCAGACTCTCTAACCACTACACCACGGAGGCAGTCAATATATGGAGAAGAGAGGAGTAGGAGATTATGGGGAGTAGATGATTATAAGGATAATACATGGAGAGTATATGCAATACCAACCTGTGTAAGAGACTGAGTAAAATGATTGCAGTTTTTATTGAGTAAGTGATACTGGTCCCCACGGAACTCCTTCCCAAGTTGTTCCACTAACTTCCTGATTTCATCAGATGTGAAGTCAGTATATCCTAATACAATGGACTCCCTGGAAGAGAAAATATCTGTATCAATCATATAGCTGGACCAGTGTTTCCAATGATCTGAATACTGGGTAGACAGATGCTACAGGATATGAAATGGTGCAATAGTCTGAGAAAAGCTAAATTAAGGAAGTACTGATCACTTTCATCATGCAAGCTAAGATTTTACATTTTTGTGTGTACATGTTAGATCACGTTTAGTGAGTATTTCCAAAAATTCATGCATACTTGTACACAATAGGCTTAATAGGAATTGAGTTTTCACATAAATATTTGCGTAATTTACGCAGATACGCAGCTTATCTATACCTCTGCACCTCCATTGTTTAATGCATACAACTGTAAACATGGTAAATAAATAGTTTTGATTTCTGTGACACCAGTCATAGCTAGCCTGTACCATCTGCAAATTTTAATGGTTTGGAATGAAAAATAACAACCCTAATTTAAACTTGGAAAAATAAAGATATTTAAAATCCAAGCGTCAAAGACGTGAGTTCAAAGTACCAAGTTTTATGCGGACATATGAAACAGTGTATGTCATGCCCTATTCTTGGTCTCCATCATCCTTTCATCCATCAAGGTTTCCGAGAATATTTTTAATAAGGATGATATTTTTTGTAATCTTTGTCCCCATTTCAAGTTGGACAGAAAGATGGGCACTCAAAAATCAGAAACTCATAAAACATGTTTATCCTTGCAAGAGTGAGTGAGTGACTTTAGTTTTACACTGCACTCAGCAATATTCCTGCTATACGACGGTGGTCTTTAAATGATTAAATAATCAAGTCTGGATTAGACAATCCAGAGATCAACAGCATGAGCATCGATCTTTGCAATTGGGATACGATGACATGTGTTAACCAAGTCAGCGAGCCTGATCACCCGATTCCGTTAGTTGCCTCTTACAACAAGCATGGGTTACTGAAGATCAATTCTAACCCAGATCTTCATGGGTTCCTTGAGGGAGAGATGGTACATCATGACATCATATGCATGTTTATGTCAGGTCAGAAATATCACAGTTCCTTTAAATGATTGGATCTGGGGACGGACAGACCAGGGATTGATATCTTGAGCAAAGTCACACACACCACGCACCCTCGCACACAGGTTATGACGACATACAATCTAATCTATACAATATAATGAAGTAGGAAAAACTTCACAACCTGCATAATGTTTCAGAGTGCTGTGGAAGTGACAATCTAAATTACAGTGATTTTTATCTCTCTTAAGACGCTACCATTTCATTGTATCGACAAAGTTAGCAGCATTTAAAAGTTTTATCATGACCAAAATAAAATATACACAAGTTTCAACAAATTTAATCATTGTTATTCATGTTCACACAGTCAACCTATGTAACAAGAACTCATAACGATGAAGATAGTGTACACGTTGAATTACAGAATTTTTATCTCACTTGAATTTGAACTGTTCCCCCAGGTCATCAGCATCCTTTGGCGCTATTTCAAACACGCCAGAAAATGGAAATGGATGTCCTCCATACGCATATTCTGAAATAAGGAAATAATATTGAGCAAAGTCTCAAACATCCTGTTACCATGGTTACAAGAACAGCACTGTTGTTACAACATGACCAAAGGTTTGGGTGCCTGCATCAGGTGAGTGCAGAATAGGACTAGGATACCTACAGGACTACCCAGACAATAATGTTTGTTTGTTGTTTATCACCGCACTAAGCAATATTCCATCTGTATGGTGTCGGTCTGTAAATAATGGAGTCTGGACCAAACAATCCAGTGATCAATAGCGTGTGCATCGATCTATGCAATTGGGATACAATGACGTGTCAGCCAAGTCATTGAGTCTGACCACCCAATCCCTTCAGTCGAGGTATGGGTGCATAGGTCCTTCGAGGTCATGCAAACACTGAATTTGACTGAAGCTTAATCGTAACCAAACACAAAAAAGTCAGAAAGAATGTGTGCATAGTTTGAAAGAAATGCAAACTTCGATTACTTGTAGCATAGCCATGGAGTTCTCCATAATTGTCTGAACCCAAGAAGATGCAGGTTAGAATTGGTCTCGTAAGAGGCGACTAACAGGACTGGGTTGTCAGGCTTGCTGACTTGGTTGACAGTAATGACAGATGTCATTATATCCCAATTACGTAAATCAATGCTCATGCTATTGATCACTGGATTGTCTGGTCGAGACTCAATTAATTACAGACCGCCGCCATATAGCTGGAATATTGCAGAGTGCGGCGTTAAACAACAACCAAACCAAATCATTCAGAGTTTACTTAACACAACCTTCTATGGAGGTATTGCACAACATCGGAGAGAAAGATCTTATCTTAATTACGGTATATTGATAATAATTATAATAATATTTAAAGCAAATAAAGTAAATTGGTCACTTGATTCTGAAATCTAAAAATATATTTCAAGTTATCAAATATATACTATACATATACATGTACTATGTGGTAAACCGCCTCCATGGTGTAGTGGATGGAGCGTCCGCCCGGAGAGCGGAAGGTCGCGGGTTCGATCCCAAACCGCGCCATACCAAAAGACGTTTAAAATATGCTACTTGTTGGTCCCTGCCTGGTGCTCGGCATTAATGGGTACAACAAGGACTGGTCGGCTCGGAGTCAGTATAATGTGTCTGAGTGGGGTATTCATGCTTCACTGCGGCATAGTATCTCAGTGGGCTAGCACTATAAAACCAGCTTAAGTCTGGGCTAGTACAAGCAGCCGCACATACACACGCATGCACGTCGTCATATGAGCGAAATATTCTCAAGCACGACGTTCAACCCAATTTCACAACCAGTGTATCACCTTCATAACATGCTCACCTGTCCCATACACCTGTATTCCTGAATGGAAGACGCCGATGCCTAGCGATGACGTGTACTCATTGATCCAGTACTGCAAATCAAATTGAAAGGAACATCCAAAATTAGTAGGTCATGGATTGGTAAGGTTAGCAATATATTCATTCCCAGCTCTAAAGAAATTATCAAAACATACAGTTCTCGAAACCATTACTTCACAGGACCCTCGTATTGCCTACAAAGACCCTTAAAACTTATAATTAGGTGTCCCGTGTTTGTGAGCCGAGGTAAAACCCTGTCAAACCTTATTTCGTGTATTCACATGGTCATATTTCCTCTCATATTTCCATTCTCAGTCAAAGTCATTGTGAAATATACGGTCAGATACTTGGGCCGGCGGGTTGTAGACTTCTATCGGACCGTCGGCAAATCTGCCGGATTTGTCAGAGGGTCCAACGCTATTCGTGAACACTGTCATGCAAATGACAAAAAGAAAATAACACTTATGAAACAGCTTAACATGGATTGAAAACCCATTTGACAGCTTCCACATGTCAATTGTCAATACTTCACTGGGTCTTTGAAAGGCATTCAGAAGTGGTACACATAAGGGACCATTCATAATTTATGGCTAGGGTGGGGGGAGGTGATGATTTTTATGGAGAAGCATGTACAATGTGAATGACCCCCCTAAAATTTATGTACAAAGTAAGTGACCCGCCTGCATGTCATGTACAAAGTCAATGACCCCCCCTTCCCCTTTCCACATGTTTATAGCATAATTTTTAAATATCTTTATGTACAAAATTGCTGACCCCCTAGAAACATGAGTACAAAATTGATGACCCCCTACCTCCCCAGAACAAAATGGGTGACCCCCCCTTAAAATCATCATCATCTAAAAATAATCCTCTTGGTTTACATTTATCAGAAATACTGATGATTTATTTACTTAACCCAAAAGCATGACAAAACAATAAATTTGTACATGTAGTTCAACTTGAAATTGCAGTTGCAGGTCAGTCTAAGTAAACTTAGGCTCAGTATTATTCGTTACACTGCTATACTGAGTCTAACAAAACCTAGTAGAAGGTCGCATCAGCTAACCTTTTGGACTGACCAATCAGAACACAGCTTACCAAATCGAAAAAGTTAACATTCGTACATAGCCTTTACCTCAAAAACCCGAACGATTCCGAATGCTATTTTCCATGCAATTGTTTCGAATGATACACACAATGAGTAAACAGTTGCTGAAAATGGCATTTTTGTCAATATCCATGGATGTCATTTTGCGAAAATATAAGCAAACATTAACCATGTCATTAGAAACCCACAAGCGTATATACTGCAGGTTAAATATCTGTGCTTTATGCGGATTTTCGTTCAGCGACCAGGGAAGAGAAAATCCAAAAACCGTTTTGTAAGTCCCGCCAAACCCTAACAAGTAGTTGTTGTCTGATTGGCTAAATCTGTTGGGCCGTCTCGCGTTTGATTGGACGGTCATAGGTCGCTCAAAGGTTAGCTGACGCGACCTTCTACTAGGTTTTGTTAGACTCAGTATAACAGTGTAACGAATAATACTGAGCCTAAGTTTACTTAGACTGAATTGCAGGCATGAGTGTTGTCTCTGCATTTAACAGTTATCATCATGATCAACTGGATCATCTTGGGTTTACCAATTTGAATGATTTTTCACTGAATGATCTTGTTATCACTTGATTTGGAGATTATTTTGCTGGAAATTGTAATAAACACACGATAATAGCGAAAGTTATCGTTTGTGTTTGTTTGATTTTTCTATTATTTATTTTCTTCATAAGCTATTTGAAGGGCCAGTATGTTGAGCATTCTGAAGCATTGTTTGTAAACAATGGCCAAGTACCGCTGAGCTTACATGTCCAAACTTTCGTCTCATTGGTATTTTGTAAACAAGTGTTCTTTTCTGAAATAATAACAGATGGGTTTAACGTGAGCTTCTTACATTGGTTTGCTTTATTAATTGTGACACTGAGTTGTACGAAAATATAGGCATTCATACTGTAATTTAGGCTTTGATAAACACTCTTTTAACTCAATCAAGCTGGCAAATAGTACTTTGTAACTCCTTCTTAGGATTTCTCTTCGACCTTTCTCCGTTATCCTGCATAGAGCTTGGGTTGGCTGTTACGTTTTTCAGTACTGTGTTTGTTGGAAAACTGAATCTCTCACAAACCCAGAAATTTTTTCTTGCATGATATAATATAATACACCCAGAACTGTCAAAAGACATGCATTTTAACATGTTTAAGGGTTATTTAAACTCTGTTGTTGAAAACACAGATGCCATTTTCTCAGACAAATTTAGCACTTCATATTATAATATTCGGGTATTTTTTCTATACAGCCATCAAACTACAGAACCTATCACTGCATAAGACAATATCAAGAAGCATATATACACATATATGGATACATGCATGAAAACATGACTGCTCTCCTCACCATATTTTCACTAGTCAAATTTCAATGCTTCTTCAAAGAGTAAAAGTAATTCCTAAAAATATGTGGTTCCAAATGTGAGAACATATACACAGAAATCAACACATGTCCATAAAGAATGATAAATATGTCACAACAGAGAAATATTACTTACCATATCATACACATTGACAACAACTGGCTCTTGCGCCATAGCAGTGCACACAACTGTCGGTTGAAAAGCCAGTTAGACGATTTTGCATTTAATCAACTGGAAGAAACGTGTAGAAAGGTTACACACAAAGCCTAGGTGTGCACATAAACTGCAAATGTTGGTGCACATACAGTTGGTCAAATGGTCTTCGGCCAAGTGAGGTCACACCAATAAAGCAAGAGATGATCTGTCAAAACCAGACACCTCAGATATCCTTTCCCAGTTTTAATCAGCTGATAGGGTTACCAGCATAACTATATCCTTCTTGATAAGAAAATACCCTAGAAATGACACATATCTGTCAAAACGTCAAAAATAAGAGTGACATGAATGAGTAATATTGGTGAACAATAAAAAAGTGAGAAATGTTCTACTGTGGGAGTTGTACAGGAAAGTGTATTACGTCATTTCCAGCAACTGAGTAATCATACTATTTTCTCTTCAACTATCTCACAAAATGTACATTAATGTTCAATGAACGTTTCTTTTGTTTATCATCTATTTAAATTACATTTTAGATAAAGTGAACAAACATGTAGCTAAATAATAATATCTTTGTAGAATTCACATCACGAGTACAACAAACATATTTGCCAAAAGATTTTAACGCTTAAGATTTTCCAACGGGAATACTTTCTTGCACATATATTGATGACGTAGTGCACATCCACCGTCAGTCATGGCATTTTCCAGATCGTTGCGGATATTCCAATTTCTGAAGACTGTCCACAGAGGACAACCTTGTTCCGTTGCACGAACCTTTCATACACAGAGCGTATGTTCTATGTCGTTACGTCATAAGCATATATATTCTGTTGACACCTAATCTGTGCAAATGCACCCTAGTTCTTGCATGTCAATACCTTGCTTTCCTGTGACCCTAAGGTGCGCAGCCAAATTACCTTGTCATAGAAGATGCATAAATTTTAAAAATGTGACTTGTACCAACGGGGTTGCGAAACAGAAACCTGATAACGGCATCTGTAATTGTGGTCGTGTTAAATAGCATCTAAATTAGAGTATTAATGGTTAAGCAGTAAAACATGCCAAATAGATTGTGATGGTACATGTGGGATAAAGCAATAATCTGTGTTCAAGGTTTTGCATACCCTTTTTTCGAACAGTCCAAAACAGCATTACTGGTATTTCAGGGATAAGTAAATGAAAACTTTAATTTGTTTTCGAGTAAGCATGTCTTCATCATCCGAATAAAAATATAATCCCTGATAAAGATGCTACCTTTTTTTTGCCTCTTCAGTAAATTTCTGCACTCTGACTTACCTGTTTGCAAACACCTGCTTAGCTTGATATGTATCAGGGTTCCAGTGAATGAAGAATGGTTTGTGGTGAACAGTTCACATAATTCAGACCATCTTGAGATGACTTACAATAGGTAAAGAATAGCAACAAGATTATGTAAATGTTATTGTTGCAATGAATACAGTATGAGCTGAATATGATATGTTTTATGAATGTATGGTAACGAATATGAATTTCAATTTTAATTCACTAAGACAGAGGTACAGATAAGCTGCATATCTGCATAAATTATGCAAATATTTATGTGAAAACTCAATTCCCATTATGTCTATTGAGTACAAGTACGCTTGATTTTTTGTAAATACTCAATAAATTTGATTATATATGCGTACACTCAGAAATGTCAAATCTTAGTTTGCATACCAGTGGAAAGATGAAATAACTGAGGTATATTGAGAGGTTCTATTTCAACACATGAACTTTCTTATCATTTCTCATATCACTATTATTATTATTATTATTGAGTTTCACTGAGGTGGGTACAATTTATTAGATTACTCAACGGAAAATTAGGATACCCAATTGAGATGAACACTAGCGAGTACATAACTCAGTGACCCAAAAGTTATCTGTAGCTCTAACTATGAGGTGAATATCATATGTTTTATGAATATATGGAAATGAATATGAATTTTAATTCATAGATAATTTGCTTAGGATTTGACTTTTGATTCAGTACAGACAAATTGATGTGGATCCACATTGCAATTATGTTATTGCAATCAAGCTGCTGTTGATGAAGTACATGTTTATTGTGGCTAGATATTCTGTTTATTCATGTATGATCACTAACTTCATTTCTATAAATGTCATCCAAAATAATACATATGTATGGTTCAATCTGTTGACAACATTAAATTGCAGTATATCAGTATATATCTAGAGATCTCTGGTGATGACTGTGATTGCAAATTCTGATAAATACTTTGTAATCACTAAGATTTGAATTTTGTTTTCTTTAATAACAATCACTGGAAAAGTTGTTAAAGAATCTCTTCACTTTTTGAAATTTTGTATTTTTAACTTAACACAGAGAGGGCATGACAGTTGAGAGAATGCAATCGTGTTGGGGGTCATCTCAAAATACAGACGTTTGTTGGCCAAATGCTCTGATTCCGTGATTAACACAATTAATCTTGAACTCATTTAGTAGACCCACCAAACTTTGTCCCTGTGGACTTCATTTTTACAGAGAATCATGTGACATTATACATACACCATGTATGTAGGATGTTTCTTCAGATGTTAGATGAATATATAATTGGGAAAACATGTATATTGTTGAAAGAGGCATGTGTGGACGAGAAATTATTTTCAGTAATGATCACTTAGGATTCTGTGGTGTTTTTACAGTGGACTCCCGCTAAACCGACATCCCTCTTATCCGACATTCCCTGTAAACCTTCATATTTATTTGGTCCCAAATATGTCCCTATGTAATATCATATAAAAAACTCCCTCTAATCCAACATCCCAATATTCTGATTTCCGACGCTCAAATCCAGTCCCAAAACATGTTTTTAGTGCAAATTGACTCTCTATTGACCGACATTGTAATTTCACAAAAGATTGCATCAGCCAACACATGGTGTGTATTTAGCAATCACCACACTTGGGCAAGAGGTGGCCTGCCAAGACGTAATAAGATTAACTGTTAATTACTTGCTAATTACTTAATTAACATTTTCATATCCGTATAGTCCCAGAAATTTGTCACAGGTAAAAGACTTCCTGTTTTAATCTGAATATCACCTACTGCAGGTGCTGTCGTCTCAGAATATTACATTTGAAGAGAAACCCGAGTTCCCTGGTTCAAAGTCACAATATGTCCACAAACTGGAGTATATTCAGCCCGAGATGCAAGAGGGTATTCCTGTCTACAGAGTCATGGGAAGAGATGGGAAGATTGTGGATGAAACACAAGATCCCAAGGTAGGTTACCATGGTTACAGTTTCAGATAAATGCTTCAAAAACTACCGTCTGTTCTATTGACTATTGTTGTACATTTAATTGCCACCATACGTTCCATGGTAAGTTTGACCTTGTGATGCATTTTTTTTTCATAATTTGTTACTGATTTTGTGGGGCGGTGGGGTAGCCTTGTGGTTAAAGCGTTGGCTTGTCACGCCGAAGACCCGGGTTCGATTCCCCACATGGGCACAATGTGTGAAGCCCATTTCTGGTGTCCCCCCTGGAATATTGCTAAAAGCTGCATAAAACTAAACTCAATCACTGATTTTGGCCAAAGGATACCAAGTTTTGGTTCTCAATAGTTCAAATCATTCTGATCATGGTTAAGGCTGGTGCAATAAACTACATTTATAGCAAACACGCTTATAGTGGAATGATGGTTATAATAAACCGTTTTTTTTGGATATTTTAGTGTAAAGGTGTATTACGAACTACAGTTATAACAAACTAAAATTAGTGGTGAGTGAGTTTGGTTTTACACCGCACTCAGCAATATTCCAGCTATATGGCGGCGGTCTGTAAATAATCAAGTCTGGACCAGACATGACTAACAACATGAGCATCGATCTGTGCAATTGGGAACCAATGACATGTGTCAACCAAGCCAGCGAGGCTGACCACCCGATCCTGTTAGTCGCCTCTTACGACAAGTATGGGTTACTGAAGATCAATAGTCTATCCCGGACCTTCACAGGTCTAAAATTAGTGGTCCTTCTGTGTTCATTATAACCATAGTTCTCATTAACTGACACCCGAGAAGGTCCGGGTTAGAGTGTGCCTTCAGTAACCCATGCTTGTTGTAGGAGGCGACGACCGGGATCGGGTGCTCAGGCTTGCTGACTTGGTTGACATATGTCATGGGTTCCCAAATGCACAGACTGATGCTCATGCTGTTGATCAATGGATTGTCTGGTCCAGACTCGATTATTTACAGACCGCCGCCATATGGCTGGAATATTGCTGAAACTAAACTCACTCACTCATTAACTGACATGGAGTATCAAGGAAATACACAACATATATCTTCCGATTGTAATTAGTTAAGTCACTGGAACAAACTAGTTTTAAACAATCACTAACACAAGTTCAAACCCTATATGGACTCGGTTTGTGTAAATGTTCCAGCTGGACAAAGACACTGTGATAAAGATGTACAAAGACATGACTCTCCTCAACACCATGGACCGTGTACTGTATGAGTCACAAAGACAGGGCCGAATCTCCTTCTACATGACCAACTATGGCGAGGAGGGAACTCACGTGGGATCAGCTGCTGCTCTTGACCCCAGAGATCTCGTGTTTGGTCAATACAGAGAGGCAGGTATGTTCATTTAGCTTGAAGTAGAATTTACGATTGTCCATCTACTGGTTGGATTGGACAATAAGACTGTCATTAAAATATGACCAGGGTTTTACCTCAACTCACAAACATTATATTATTAGCTTTCTGAGTCCTTTGCAGGCAATGTGAGGGTCATGTGAAGTAACAGTGTAACTGTACGTTGTGATAATTTCTTTAGAGCCTGAAATGAATCATTGATCATATGGAATGGTTGATGAGATGGTGCACCTAACTGCTCTGAAAGAAACAACCAAACATTTAGCAAAGTCATAGATGTCATTTACTCTGATACATTGTCATTGAGATATGATCATTTACTCTGATACACTGTCATTAAGATATGATCATTTACTCTGATACACTGTCATTAAGATATGACCATTTACCCTGATACACTGTCATTAAGATATGATCATTTACTCTGATACACTGTCATTAAGATATGATCATTTACTCTGATACACTGTCATTAAGATATGATCATTTACATTTACCCTGATATACACCCTGATACACCGTCATTAAGATATGATCATTTACTCTGATACATTGTCATTAAGATATGATCATTTACTCTGATACACTGCCATTAAGGTATGATCATTTACTCTGATACATTGTCATTAAGATATGATCATTTACTCTGATACACTGTCATTAAGGTATGATCATTTACTCTGATACACTGTCATTAAGATATGATCATTTACTCTGGTACACTGTCATTAAGATATGACCATTTACTCTGATACACTGTCATTAAGGTATGATCATTTACTCTGATACTGTCATTAAGGTATGACCATTTACTCTGATACACTGTCATTAAGGTATGATCATTTACTCTGATACATTGTCATTAAGATATGACCATTTACTCTGATACACTGTCATTAAGGTATGATCATTTACTCTCATACACTGTCATTAAGATATGATCATTTACTCTGATACACTGTCATTAAGGTATGATCATTTACTCTCATACACTGTCATTAAGGTATGATCATTTACTCTCATACACTGTCATTAAGGTATGATCATTTACTCTGATACACTGTCATTAAGATATGATCATTTACTCTCATACACTGTCATTAAGGTATGATCATTTACTCTCATACACTGTCATTAAGATATGATCATTTACCCTGATACACTGTCATTAAGATATGATCATTTACTCTGATACATTGTCATTAAGATATGACCATTTACTCTGATACACTGTCATTAAGATATGATCATTTACTCTGATACACTGTCATTAGGATATGATCATTTACTCTGATACACTGTCATTAAGGTATGATCATTTACTCTGCTACACTGTCATTAAGATATGACCATCTAGTCTGATACACTGTCATTAGGATATGATCATTTACTCTGATACACTGTCATTAAGATATGATCATTTACTCTGATACATTGTCATTAAGATATGATCATTTACTCTCATACACTGTCATTTAGATATGATCATTTACTCTGATACACTACTGCTCTAGACCCGTGAAGGTCCGGGTTAGAATATTGATCGTCAGTAACCCATGCTTGTCGTAAGAAGCGACTAACGGGATCAAGTGGTCAGGCTCGCTGACTTGGTTGAAACATGTCATCGGTTCCGAATTGCGCAGATTGATGCTCATGCTGTTGATCACTGGATTGTCTGGTCCAGACTCCACTATTTACAGACCGTCGCCATATAGCTGGAATATTGCTGAGGACGGCGTAAAAGTACACTCACTCACTCACTGCTGTATATCAAGGTAAAGGACACTTTCGCAGAATATTGTGTCAGGTGAACACAGACTTTGATTGCCATGTCCAGAGAAGGTTGTGTGGGTTGTAGAACCAATGATGTCACTTATCTAAAACAGTTTGGTTCTATTTCTTAAGCACTTAATTTCAGAATTTTGACGTAGATATTCCTTCTATCATGTTTCTACACATGTGAATGCCTTATTACTCAGAAACATTATTATGGTATAGTTTTTGGGAGTAGAAGGTGTATTCATTTTTGGATATACAGAAATTACATATATTAAAGAAATTAGAAGTCTTCATGCTGACTGATTGGAAAATTCACCTGACATTACCTGTGGAGGTGTCTTCACTTCTTCATGCAGTGGAACCACATAAAAGTATCAAATTTGATTTTAATGACATTGTGTCAAAATTGTGATTCAAGATTCAGATCCTTAAAGATTTTGGTTCAGTCAGATTCTTACATCTGTGATACATTTCCTGTCTGTGATAGATCCAACTATGACATTACAATTATGAAGATGTTAACTTTCATTTAAGTCAGTAGCTTATACCATATCTCAATCTGATAAATGAAACACCTCCATATATTGTTGAAGCTTGATAAGAGATAAGGCATAACATAGTGTGAAGAGTGAGTGAGTTTAGTTTGACGCCGCCCTCAGCAATAGTCCAGCTATATGGTGGCGGTCTGTAAATAATCGAGTCTGGACCAGACAGTCCAGTGATCAACAGCATGAGCATTGATCCATGCAATTACGATGACGTGTCAACCAAGCCAGCGAGCCTGACCACCCGATCCCATTAGTCACCTCTTACGACAAGCATGGGTTACTGAAGATTAATTCTAATTCGGATCTTCACGGGTACATAGTGTGAAGACAAATCAAGTACTCATAACAATGATAAACACACCACATCCCATCTTGGCAGTCACAGAGGAAAGATATCATGTGTCATCTTGACTTTTGTCACTGAACATTTTGGCGTTTAACACCACAGTTATCAATATTACAGCTAAGCGACAGCTGTCTGTAAATAATCAAGAATGGTCCAGGCAATCCAGTGATTGATATGAGCATTAATTCCATGACATTCAATGAACCATGCTACAAAGATTGACCAACCATATCCATTAAGATGGTTCTTTGATAAGCATAGGATGCATATTTTTATCCAGAATTAACTCAAGGGAGGTTGTACAATGCTGCTGCGAGCATGTTATAAGTTAGGTAACATCCCCCATATTACACGGATTAGAGTAATTAGATTAGAGCAATTAGATTAGAGCAGTTCCATAGATCCAGGTACTACATGTGCAGACATTAATGTCATCGACGTGAGATCAGTTGAAATATAACTTATATTATAAGGCTGCAATAGATAAAGATACAATCAATGACTTGGTTTAGGAAAATAATAAGGTGATCTTTTTTAGCCTCAAAATGTTGTAGATGCATGTGACATGAGCAACTTTCTATTTCTGTATGTTTGTCAACAGGTGTGCTGACTTGATGTTACTGTATGTTTGTCAACAGTCGTGCCGACTTGATGTTACTGTATGTTTGTCAACAGGTGTGCTGGCTTTATGTTACTGTATGTTTGTCAACAGGTGTGCTGGCTTTATGTTACTGTATGTTTGTCAACAGGTGTGCTGGCTTTATGTTACTGTATGTTTGTCAACAGGTGTGCTGGCTTTATGTTACTGTATGTTTGTCAACAGGTGTGCTGGCTTGATGTTTCTGTATGTTTGTCAACAGGTGTGCTGACTTTATGTTACTGTATGTTTGTCAACAGGTATGCTGGCTTGATGTTACTGTATGTTTGTCAACAGGTGTGCTGGCTTGATGTTTCTGTATGTTTGTCAACAGGTGTGCTGACTTTATGTTTTTGTATGTTTTCAACAGGTGTGCTGGCTTTATGTTACTGTATGTTTGTCAACAGGTGTGCTGACTTGCTATTTCTGTATGTTTCTCAACAGGTGTGTTGATGTGGCGGGGCTTCACTCTGGACCAGTTCATGAACCAGTGCTATGGCAATTCAGGGGATGCAGGGAAGGGGAGACAGATGCCAGTCCATTACGGCTCGCGGGAACTCAACTTCATCACCATCTCCTCAACTCTAGCCACACAGATGCCTCAAGGTCTGCAGGAAAATTGATGCAGTGAATGTTATCAGTGAAAAATAATGGAAATAAATACCTTAAGATTATTCATGAAAAATAAGTATCATCATGATTGTAACTGTAAAAGGTTGTCTTGTATGAGGTGTAGCACTTTCCATTGCAAGTTGTGCGTAGGATATTCGTAAAGAGCACTCCAAGGGACATAACTCATTGGGGTTCATTTGAAATTATGTTTGGTTGGTAGAGGGTGTGAGAGTCAATTAAATGCAACGTTGCATTACTTCATTCAAACTTTTTAATTTAATCATAATATCGTAATCTAGATACGTAATTTTGTTTTGTAATAAATTGTATGGTAGTTCCATGAGGGCTGATTATAGTACCATATAGTTAGTATTATTGAGAGAAATGCATTACTCATTTTTAGAAATGTGATATAGTGCCTTTAAATATAGGACTTATGATTGTCTAAGCTCTTAGATAGTTTTGTGGAATAGGGATTTGGCTGACTGCATGTCATCATACTTCACCAGCACATGAAGCTACTCAACTGTTGTCTCATCACGTCCAGACTCACCTATTCACAGAATATATGTGGTGTACACCAACAAACATGTAGTCCTTCCTCCTTGCAGCTGCTGGAGCTGCCTATGCATTCAAGCTGAAGAAGAACGACCTGTGCGTGATGTGCTACTTCGGGGAAGGGGCAGCATCTGAAGGAGATGCTCATGCTGCATTCAACTTCGCTGCTGTGCTAGACTGCCCAATCATCTTCTTCTGGTGAGACTTTCCTCAGCAGAACATGCTGGTTGTTGGGACATCAGTTAGCATTGTGGTTAAAGTGTTTGCTTGTCACATTGAAGACCAGGGTTCAATTCCACTCTTGAAGAATGTGTGAAACCCAATTATGGTGTCTCCCACTCTCCCACTGCTAGTTATATGAGCGATGCAACTTAATGGACTGGATTGTATGATTTGGTGACGAGGATGATTGTGCTACTCCCAATATATGGACCATTGCTTTTTATGTCCATTACTGGTTATTGACTAGAATGCTTTCATATTTCGTCAGTATATATAAGGGGTGATAGGGTAGCCTAGTGGTTAAGGTGTTTGCTTGTCATGCTGAAGAACCGGGTTCGATTCCCCACATGGGTACAATGTGTAAAGCCCATACCTGGTGTTCCCCGCAATGATGTTGCTGGAATATTGCTAAAAGCGACATAAAACTAAACTCACTCACTCAATATATATATATAAGTGTAGCATTGAGCCACATACAAATATATATGAGATAACTAAACTGTGAAACAGATGGTTGTATTTTTAATCTGACTGGTTGTCTGTGGTTGCACACCCTAAACAAGTGGATTGTAAATGCTGTCAGCAGTTCACATTCACCTGACCCAGTCTTAGGTTTTTTATTATAATTGGAATATTGCTGACAGAGGCATAAAACAACTGTTCCTTACACTGTGATATTTGGAAGCCACTATAAGTAAAACTACTTAAACATGTTACATGGATTAAGAAAGGCAAATATCATCAACTGTGATTCCTTTGATCATAATGAAGCCATTATTGCTGCATCAGCAAATATTTCTCCATCTTACACAGGGGTAATGTGGTATCGGTAGTTCTCTACAGATTAACACCTTGGATTATGTCATCAAGGTTTTCAGTTCTCTGTTTCCAAACATGCTTTAACAGTACCCTCGTCATATTATCTTCTTTTTTTCAGCCGCAACAATGGATATGCCATATCTACACCTACAAAGGATCAGTACAAAGGAGACGGTATTGGTAGGTGTTACCTTAGCGCTTGGTTTGGCTTCTTGTTGTTTAACCTTGCACTCAGCAATATTCCAGCTATATGGCGGTTGTCTGTAAATAATTAAGTCTGGACCACACAGTCCAGTGATCAACAGCATGAGCATCGATCTACGCAGTTTGGATACGATGACATGTGTCAACCAAGTCAGCGAGTCTGACCACCCAATCCCATTAATCGCCTCTTATGACAAGCATGGGTTGCTGAAGACCAGTTCTAACCCAGATCTTCATGAGACAAGCAATATGCCTTGTATACCATAGGAAATTACAAAATATTACAAAGTGCCATTTCTTGCAGTCCTCAAGTTGTATCCTGCTATTGACCACACTAGCCATGTCATGTCTCGTACAGTTAGTTAGCACAGCCAGCAGGGGCTGCTTCTGATGGTCTGCTCTAGAACTGTGTAGCACCAAAGTACTATCTCCATGAATATAGTATGCATAGCACCTGTGTAGATCCGGTATAGAATTGGTCTTCAGCAAACCATGCTTTTTGTAAAGTGGATATTGCTAGAATATTGCTTATGTCATGGTGTTATTTGGTCCATATCCCCTCACAGCAACCACTTGCTTGATCAATAACCATAGCAACTAGGTATGTGGATGTAATTAAGGGTGATGGAGGAAGAGAGTTTAAATAAACCCATGAAGTTTTACTTATTTAAGTGGCATTTGGAAGCTGGTATGATGAAGAGGAACAAATTTTATTCATTGACAATTTCCTTATTGCAATCGATGCGACGTTTCAATGAACATGCTAACACCTTTATCAAACAAGTGATACACAATATTATACACAAGAAGAATTTATACAGAATTTGAGTTTATACAATTGAAGATGTTTTGGTGGTGATGATTTGTGTGTTAGTACAATGAAGAATGTAACTGTTTCCGTATCAGCTTCACGGGGAGCAGAGTACGGCATTCTGACAGTCCGAGTGGATGGTAATGATGCTTTTGCTGTGTACAACGCTACAAAGACTGCTCGGGAAATGGCTATCAGTCAAAGCAGACCTGTCCTCATCGAGGCAATGACTTACAGGTATGCATGTGGGTTTGTTTCACATATAAGTACTGAGTTATCTCCCTTTCTTAAAGTTTCCTTGCCTTAATGTCACTCAGGTCTATTCTGCTTATTACACTACCAACATAGTATATATGCAAACTGTAATGGCTTAAAACCATATCTGGCTGCATGTAGTGAGGTAATAAGACTGCTGTTTAGGGACCATTCATAATTTATGGCTAGGGGGTGATGATAATTGTACAATGTGAATGACCCCTTCCCTAAAATATATGTACAAAATAAGTGACACCCCCTCCTTGCATGTCATGTACAAAATCAATGACTCCCCCTTTCCCATTCCCATAATTTCTATGCATAATTTTAAACATATTTTTATGTACAAATTTGCTGACCCCGCCTAGTAGTAGTAGATGCGTACAAAATTGATGACCCATCCCCCCATCCCTTAGAATCATCACCCCCCAGCCATAAATTATGAACGGTCCCTTATGAAGACAGATTATTCAGTGCATAGAACATAGCAGGTACAATCATCCATCACAATAACACTCTTCGCGATACCGCGGTTCAGTTAAACGACGAGGTATTCAATGGCTCCCATAAAAAAAAGCAATTACACATCTTCATTTTCACATCATTGGGAAATCCCAAATCCACTATTGTGATCAAGTTAATCATGTTGTAAACTAGCGAAATTCAGTGTGGATCGCAATAAAAAAATGTTTCATTGTACATATGCTCGTATCATGGGTTTTCAGATGCACCTCACCTATCAGGCAGGTATATATTGAATTCTGAATGCTGTAGACCCATGAAGATCCAAGTTAGAATTGATCTTCAGTAACCCATGCTTGCTGTAAGAGGCGACTAACGGGATCGGGTGGTCAGGCTTGCTGACTTGGGTGACACATGCGTAGATCGATGCTCATGCTGTTGATCACTGGATTGTCTGGTTTAGACTCGATTATGTATAGACCGACGCCATATAGCTGGAATATTGCTGAGTGCAGTATAAAACTAAACTCACTCACTCACTCATTGAATACTGAATAACAGTGTGTGTTCTCCAGGATTGGTCATCACAGCACCTCTGACGACAGTTCGGCTTACCGGTCAGTGGATGAAGTAAGCTACTGGGACAAACAGGACAACCCTATCTCCGTTTACGCAACTACATGGTGAACCAGGGCTACTGGGATGACGACATTGAAAAGGAGTGGAAGCTGGAGTCGAGGAAGAAGGTGGACATTTTACTGTTAACTGTTGTATAATGAAGGTGTTTCATGTGAGGAAGTTGGGAGAGAAAATGAAGAAAAATTACAAAAGGGACTTTTCTGGACTTTCAGATTTGGGTCGGTGGGGTAGCATAGTGTGCAAAATCATTGTGTGAAGACCATTTCTGGTGTCCCACACGGTGGTATTGCTAGAATATTGCTAAAAGCGCCATAAAACTAAACTCACTCACTCACTCTTTCAGATTTATTTGGCATTTTTGCTGACGCTTTCGTCTCTGATATTTATCGATATTTGATCAATAATTAGAAGACGATTATGGATCTCTATGATCTATATCTATAGCCAGGGACTGCCTCCGTGGTGTAGTGGTTAGAGCGTCCGTTCGGAGAGCGGAACGTCGCGGGTTCGATCCCCGACCGCGTCATACCAAAAGACGTTAAAATATGGTACTTGTTGGTCCCTGCCTGGCGCTCGGCATTAATGGGTACAACAAGGACTGGTCGGCTCGGAGTCAGTATAATGTGTCTGAGTAGGGTGTTCATGCTTCACTGCGGCATGGTATCTCAGTGGGCTAGCACTATAAAACCAGCTTCAGTCTGGGCTAGTACAAGCAGCCGCACATACACATACACATACACATGCATGCGTCGTCATATGAGAGAAATATTCTCAAGCACGACGTAAACCCAATTTCACCTCACCTCTATAGCCAGGCCTACTGTTAAAGTTTTATGGGGGTTTTCAATAGAACTTGTTTCTTGTGTTTTAGGTGATGAAATCATTTGCAGCAGCAGAAAACCGCAAGAAGCCAAACCCAGAGGAACTGTTTCATGACGTGTATGAAGAAATGCCGCCACACGTACGACGCCAGATGCAGGAGATGAAACATCATGTTCAACAATACAAGGAACACTACCCCCTGGAGCACCACGACAAGATGTCCTAACTCATACACAGAATCTCTCAGTTTTCAACACACTCTGTCAGTCCGTCACAGGTTCAAGTTCGTACGCAGATATTTATCAATTCAGCTCTATCAATTCTTTTAAGTAGTGAATATTTCAAACAGGACAGACATATTGACTGTACAGGCTTTCAGTGTTTCTCAGATATTACTGTGAAAAATGGTTCACACTTAATTTTCATGCTGCCAAAATGACTTTATTTGTTGTGGTTTTTGATTTTCATTTTTGTGATTGAATGTCAGTATTGATAGTTAATAATGTTGATAGAGCCTCCATTTATTTCCAGTTTTCAAACTGCCATGTGTACCTAGAGCTATGTCAATATCTTCGACATGTGAGCGAAATATTCTCAAGTACGACGTAAAACCCAATTTCACCTCACCTATGTCAATATGTAAGGGCTTTTGGGCTGAAATTAGGTGCAAACTTAATTATCTGCCCACTTGGCAAGATTGGTTTGTTTAACAGGCATGTATGATTTAAACATGCCTGTTGTTTTTCTCATATTTGAGGGCTTTTTCTTAATCTGTACCACAAACGGACAGGATCTGAGTTGTGTTTGATGTGATGCAGGGAAGGGTAAAGATCTTATTGTTACATATCAAGCAGTTATTGTAAATTGTGTAAATAAGATTCATAAATTGTTCCAGAAAATGATATATAACATTCACAAGGAGTACAGTTCAACAAAATTAAGTACTTGATGTGTTTGTTTGGACTGCTTCAGAACTACTTCTGTAACTTAATCTTTTATAAAGACTTAAGATTCTTTTACTGAGTGTTTATTGCATACTTCAGATGCATTTATCAGTTGTAAAGAACAAATATGCTACATAAATAATACTCATCTGAAATTTGTCTCGAAACCAGGATATCCTGATGACCTGTTAATTCCAAGTCGAAGTTGTTGTAAAATGTAGATACTATTGTACTGAACACTGATCATGTAGAATTAGTAGATGCAAGATTGTGAGCTATGTTAACAGGTTGTCACTGTTAATGTCACTGTTATTTGGAATGATAGTAGAAACTGTAATATGCAGTCTGAGTAAACTTAGGCTCAGTATTATTCGTTACACCGCTATACTGAGTCTAACAAAACCTAGTAGAAGGTCGTGTCGGCTAACCTTTTGGACTGACCAATCAAAACATAGCTTACCAAATCGCGAAAGTTAACATTTGCACATACCGTTTGAACCTTTACCTCAAAAACCGAACGATTCCGAATGCTATTGCTTCCGAGTGATACACGCAATGAGTAAACAGTCGCTGAAAATAGCGTTTTTGTCAATATTCAAGAATGTCATCGTGCGAAAATATAAGCAAATAGTAACCATGTCATTAGAAACCCATAAGCGTATATACTGCAGGTCAAATATCTGTGTTTTCTGTGGATTTCGTTTGTTGTTAGATCAGTGTCAGCAACCAGGGAAGAGAAAATCCCGTAAGTCCCCGCCAAATCCTAACAAGAAGTCGTTGTCTGATTGGTTAAATCCGTTCTGTCGGCTCGCGTTTGATTGGATGGTCATAGGTCGCTCAAAGGTTACCTGACGTGACCTTCCACAAGGTTTTGTTAGACTCAGTACAGCAATGTAACGAATAATACTGAGCCTAAGTTTACTTAGACTGCTGTAATACCGGTATGTTGAGTTCTTTCACAGAACAAACTGATGATGAAAATGTAATGTTTGAGAGAGTGCTTGTTTGATGTGTATAGTGTGTCATGTGGAAAGAAGTATCTGACATTATTGTGGATGGATATAATAAATATTGGGTAAACTCATTTCTGTTCTTGTGTTATCTTTTGGTTGAGGGAGAGGATAACAATATTGTTATTTCTCTAAATGTTCTCTTGATAAATCACTTGGGGGACATTGTATTTATATCCCGATTCTTGTTAACGAATCTTCACAGTTGGTGACAGCCCATATTGGGGGATTATGCAGACCATAGCGGATTTTGGTGACCTTGACCTTATCTTCAAGGTCACCTTGATACTTTGACCACTTTTCAAACATATGTATACACAACATCTCATAAAACCTTGCCCCTGATGTTAGCCTCTGAGCTGAAGAATATATTGCCATTTCTTACAAGTTTGATGTCAGGAATTAACATAACCGTATCAGGGTAGGGTAGGGTAATTGGGGTTGGAGTACTCTTGTGGAAGATTTGGACCTGTCCCACTGTCCCAGTGCAAATACACACTGATACTGATAGTGGATATGTGCATCTGCATCTACACATTCAAGTCTACTATATATTCCTGAAATATCTTCAGAGTTAGAAGACCGCCTCCATGGTGTAGTGGTTAGAGCGTCCGCCGGGAGAGCGGAAGGTCGCGGGTTCGATCCCCGACCGCATCATACCAAAAGACGTTAAAATATGGTACTTGTTGGTCCCTGCCTGGCGCTCGACATTAATGGGTACAACAAGGACTGGTCGGCTCGAAGTCAGTATAATGTGTCTGAGTGGGGTATTAATGCTTCACTGCAGCATGGTATCTCAGTGGGTTAGCACTATAAAACCAGCTTCAGTCTGGGCTAGTACAAGCAGCAACACATACACACGCATGCATGTCGTCATATGAGCGAAATATTCTCAAGCACGACGTTAAACCCAATTTCACCTCACCTCACCTCAGAGTTAAAAAGATTCTGTGAAGTGACCATGACTAAAAACCCCCATCACCCAAAAGGTAAATTTCTGTCACCAAAAGATAAAAACTAGTAAATATGTTATATTTCAATCTTCTTTAGAGGCGGGGAACATTGTCATGTTAGTGGCAAACCCTTTGGTCCTTACTGTCCTCATCATAGTATACTGGACAAAATAAGTTAGGGATATTGGTATTTTTATGATTGATATTTTATCAGTGTGTCAATGAATAAATACATCATTATTCATAATTTCAAAATTTACATATATCCCTCATTTTTTGTCCAGTATATATAAATGAATGCTGTTAAACAACTAGACACCATTTCACAAAGATGTTGAACTTACTTCAGGAGATCGTTTTCATACAGATATAGAAACATATTACAGAGTCGACTTCAAAGTCATATATGGTGTACTTTGCGACTGGCAAATATTTCGCATGGTTGGGTCCACGTGAATCCTGAAATTACTTCAGAAGGGCGTTTCACACAGAAAAACATATCCATTCAGATTTGTAAACTTAACACTAAGTTGACTAAGATTCAGAAAGAGCTTTTGCTCGGCATGGTCCCGTATATGCCACCTAAACTTACTTCATAAGATCGTTTCGTCCGCCCGGAGAGCGGAAGGTCGCGGGTTCGATCCCCGACCGCGTCATACCAAAAGACGTTACAATATGGTACTTGTTGGTCCCTGCCTGGCGCTCGGCAGTAATGGGTACAACAAGGACTGGTCGGCTCGGAGTCAGTATAATGTGTCTGAGAGGGGTATTCATGCTTCACTGCGGTATGGTATCTCAGTGGGCTAGCACTATAAAACCAGTCTGGGCTGGTACAAGCAGCGACACATATAGTACACATACACACGCATGCACGTCGTCATATGAGCGAAATATTCTCAAGCACGACGTTAAACCCAATTTCACCTCACCTCATAACATCATTTCACAAAGAAAAACATTCATACAGAACAGAGAGAACAGAGTCATAGAGGCGACAAAATAAATGGTTGGGCACTTGACGTGGAAGATGGAGTGAAATGTTTGTTCGCAATATCATATCACTGGATTGTCTGGTCCAGATTATTTAAAGGCAGACATCATATAACTAGATTATTGTCGACCTCAGCGACAACAAAAGAAATCTGAGGTAAAGAACATTTTATTCACTTTATACCATGTCGATGTGTTTCGTTTGTGGATGTGTTTGGTCAGGATGAAGGGACAAAGCTGACATCCATCAAAGCATGGAGTTGGGTCCCGATCCACAAAGCATTCGTAACGTTACGACCTGTCGTAACTCTATACAGTTTACCATAGGCTTACGAATGTGGATGAACCGATGGTTGATAGTTAAAGGTTAATGGGAATCTGTGACTGAATCTGATGTTATGCTTGACTGTTGAGTCTTGAGACGTCCCTCTGATTCAAGGTCATTTTCCAGCAAACTATACATGCCTCATAAGTGAGTATGTTTTACGCCGCTGTTAACAATATTCCAACAATATCACGGCGGGGAACACCAGAAATGGGCTTCACTCATTGTACCCATGTGATGATTCGAACCCGGGTCTTCGGCGTGACGAGCCAACGCTTTAACCACTAGACTACCCCACCGCCCCCGCTTTTAACAATATTCCAACAATATCACGGCGGGGAACACCAGAAATGGCCTTAACACATTGTACCGGATACAGGCCGGGAGAGCCACATTTCCGAAACAGATAGCCAAAATTGATGTGGCTCTCCCGGCCATAGTTACGGTTGCGTGAACATGGAATCTGGCTCTCCCGGCTATGCTGTCAAAACATGCTCAGTGATTAAAACGCGTTACCTTATTTAACAAAACAAGACATGTTTCCTCATAATTTTATTCAGATCACAACAGGTTTTGTTTCTATAATTAGAACAATATGATATACTAATAGGTATATAACATATAATGATAATATCACGTAATAATAATAAATCTTAATCTGTAAAACATAATAATGGTGATAATGGTTTAGTTTGTTGCCATGTGTACATACAGATAAAATGGCATAAGATCACAAAACATTCTTTTTTACACCACCTCTGCAGATGTTCATATTTTAGCCAATAAACGCATTACTCACCTAGAAGATAGCTCTTGTTCCATCCCTAATCTCTCTACATATAAAAAAATGATGTCAAGTACTAAAATTTAACAATCAAGCACCTATCTAAATTTATCAATTGTATATGTTCTAGTTTTCAGTAATCATTGCGTATTTATTCCCTGTCACCTTCTTGCATACTTTGTATATTCTGCATTCCATTTTATGTACACATGTACCACCGGAGGTGGTTCTATTGTGTGTAATACACTCTGAGTGAAGAAGCTAAACATCGCACTTGTAAGTAGATAGATTATTAGTTTCTTGTGAAAACAATATTATATACTGAAAGCCATTAAAAATGCAATTTGACATTCATACTTTCTTTACTCACACTAATTTCAACATATATAAACCTAACTGGCAGATATGTTTTAAGTGAACATCTGTGAATAATTTCATCTGAAAATGTCCAGTCAACAACAACATCAGTGACGCAACAACGGCATCACACAAAGGAGGGGTCACTTGCAGTCAATATCGTGTGTGTCCACCGTGCGCTGCAAGACATGCTCGCAGTCTTTGGGGCATTGAAAGACACACATTTCTCAGGAACAGCTGTTGGATGGTCTGCAGCCTCTGATGGTCTGTGGTCTGATCATGACACCACCCCCTCCAAAACGATCATGTTCAAGGAGACAGTTTGGCGCAAGTCTTTCTCCTTTACGTCGATAAATCTGTTGACATCCATCTGCAA